CTGCTTTAAAGCAGTATACGCGCTAGAAGATCATTTTTACCTGTTTTCTTTTGCCTTCCTCTTTTGAATCCCAAACTGACTGTGAGTAATTAAATTTTTTGAGAAAATAAAAAAAAGAAAACTCAGTTATTGTTTGACAGCACAAAAATAGGATGAGAGACTGAAAAATTAATTCGCCAATTTAAAGTTACATCTGCTACATCTAACATTTTTTGGAAAACTGTCTGATAATCTTTGTGAGACAAAAAGCTCCATCACAATTGGCTTATTCTGACAGATAATCATTCAAACTACGACAGCAAGTCAAGTCCACCTCTGAATAGTTAAAAACTGAAATAATGAAGGCCCTGGTGTTGTCTAGACTAGATCTGACAAAGAAGTGTTTGCAGTGGTTTGGCATAACTTGTAACTTGCCATTACTGTTGGAAAGCATTACTGTTAGGCTGAATAAATACATTAAAAAAAAATCTCCGAAACAATATTACAGATTCCCCATCAGGTTTGATGGCTGTTGTTGCTTAAAAACCAGGGACTATTTTGAGAAGAGGATAAACACTTTTTAGCCCATTGTCAGGTTGATTAACAAATCCTTTAACTCCCTTACAGAAGCAATACTTCTAAAACGGTTTTTGTCTTTAATCAGGGCATTGTTATGTTAAACCTTTAACCGTTTCCAGGTAACAGGTGAGGCTCTGGAGCAGTTAGACATAGATCTTCAAAGATTTCAAATAAGGGGCATTAAAGTATATGCACAATATTTTTTTTAGTATATGCAATAACTGGGTGTTATGTGATCTACAACTGTTTATGCATAAGTGTTAAGATGTGCAAACCATTTTGTTCATTGCCTCTTTGCTGTCTTTATTGCATTAATTTTTTTGCTGCAGATATTTAATTCCTGCCCACCTGCCATCACAGGGCGCCCAGGGAGCAGTGTGGGATTAAGGGTCTTGTTCAGAGACCCAAAGTGGGAGTCTGTGGGAGTGGGGCTCAAACTAAAAAAATCAGGATTCCAAGCTCTACACCCTAACCACTAGGCTGTCACCACCCAATATAAGCCGTATTGTAAATTTTTGAGCAGATAATTTCCAGACATTTCCAGCATCCTCTATGCTGTCCAAAATGAATGAGTATCTTTTAACATAGTTAAATGCTTCGAAGTGTTACTGTCATATGAGTAATTTAATCACCCTACATCTGATAACAAGGTAATGTTTAATCCCCACACATTTTTTTGTGTGCAATTGTTAAGCATTTTTATCACAAGCAACTTTGACTTAATTGATGATTGAAGAAACAACTATGTTTCTGTCTGTTTTTTCTCAACCAAAAACTTGAAAGTCCACCAATCTTTGTTATTAAGCTCCCTGACATGCTTATTCAAGCATAGCTTAGCTTTTTGCAGCTTAGTCTCATGCAATGTGACACTATAGACTTGTAAACTGAATACTGCTGATGCACATCGACATGCACTCCAGAGGCAACAGCAAACCCTTCCAATAGTTTCTCTGGACTTGTGAGCCTTCAAAAAGTGGCAAACATTAATGCCAGTTACCCATATCTGTGGATCATACATCATATTTTGACATTGATTATTAATATGAAACAAACTAAACCTGTTCTGAAGTGAATTCATCTTATGTGTCACAGGTTTCCCAAGTTTACCAGTCAAATAAGAACGTAGTATGTGCTTCTATTGTCTTATACTTGTGTGGTAATAACTTGCATCCTTAACACGCGGCAAATTCATCATAAAAAGGGATGTTGGGTGCAAGGGCTCAAACCGGATTTTTTAACTGGGGTCATAGCAAATGATTTAAACTAAACGTGTCAAATTGCTCAATTGTTCATAACTTCATAACGTATGGATCAATAGTTTGGACTACAAAGTCATTAGGTTAGATAAAGGCCTTTATTTTTGAACAATAAAACATTAAAGCTATTCACCCTCAGCCTAATAAGGCTTTTAATTTACATTTTGCCTACTTTAGGTTAGTCTGCTCAGCCAGACTGACTTACACCATATACATGAAATATCAGTCTGGAAAGGAGCTGGTAGAGCCAGGGCGTGACAAAGAGAGTCAGCGGAAACAGGTTAGAATTAATCAGATAATGTGATGTGACGCAAAAAAGTATTTTTTTTTCATCATTCTAACAATTGATTTATGCTGATGAAGATTATCAGTCATCCAGGTCATAGTCATTCCATAAAAGTAAAAAAAAAAATATCCACTGGACTTGGTTTCCAAGATTTGAAGACATTTCGCCACCTCTCCAGGAAGCTCTCTCAATTCTGAGAAAGCTTCCTGGAGAGGTGGCGAAACGTCTTCAAATCTTGGAAACCAAGTCCAGTGGATATTTTTTGAACTTTTACGGACTAACAATTGATTGTTATGGTTACAGAAGACAGAGGTCCTTCCTGTTAGTTTAAACATTGTTAAAAATACAGAATAAAAACTATTTATTATAGGATTTATCACCTGGTGACTTGAAAAGAATGTCTATCGTATACATTTTTTTTAACTTCAGCTTTCTTTTATCTTTTAAAAAAATAGATATGCTTTTAATACAGGAATTATGAGGGGATATCTGCACACGCGTATCTGTACAAGATACAGGAAGGTAAAATCATAGTGTAGACTGACATAAAAGTGTGCAAAATTCCTTTGTTCCCTTTGGAATATTTTTTAATTCGACACCTGGAAGTGGGGAACTGCAGGAAGTCAGTGGAACTATCTGGTTGGTCTGAAGGGAGAAAGCAGACAGATCAGGAACGAGTTGGTTGATGACAGCTGATGACTGATTGATTTGATTACCTGAGAGATAAGGTGGGAGGTAGTATGAATGTGTAGAGCTTTGATCCAGTGGTCCTTGCAGGCTGAACCCCAGAGGTCCAGGAGAATACGAGTGAGATCCAAGAGTGTTTGTACTTGCATGAAACAGTGCTCTGTAGAGCATGCAGGCAGGTGATGAAGACTGACAACTTCTGTTCCATGAATATCGGAGATGAACTGAGATTCACTGGTTGCCTGGAACAATAACAGAGTCCAGGTTAAAGAAATACACAAGAAGATCATTTCAAAAAGAATGATAATCATGGTTTAGGTCTTTGGCTGGAATAGCATAGGTCATCTTGATTGTGAAATGTTCTCAGGTGTCCAGCAACACGGGTTGGCCCTGCAACCAGCATTCATCTATTTTCCATCACGCTTATCCCAAGCGGGGTCATGGTGCCTATCTAACCCTGTCTACAGGCAAGAGGCAGAGTACACCCTGGACAGGTCGCCAGTCCATCGCAGGGCAACACAGAGACAAACAGGACAAACAACCATTCATGCACACACTCACACCCAAGGAGAATTTAGAGAAGCCAATTAACCTAACAGTCATGTTTTGGGACTGTGAGAGAAAGCCGGCATACCCGGAGAGAACGCATCCATTCACAGGGAGAACATGCAAACTCCATGCAGACAGAACCAAGGACGGGAATCGAACCCGGAACCTCCAGTGCTAC